GTCAGCACAGCAGAGGCTCCCAGCCTTCCCGGTCTTCTGACACAGGCTGGTAGCCTATCTTTTGAGCCAGCACAGACAGAAGATTTGGTGTGTGCCCCCTCCACCATGTCTTCTCTGTAGGTGCTGGTGCTCCGGGAAGGCCAGAGTGCGCCCCTGCTGAGTGCCCACATCAACATGCCTGTGAGTGAGGGGCTGGCAGCTGCCTGAGCCCTGGGCCAACAGTCAGGCCTTCACAATGGAGCCAGCCATTCAGTGACTTCAGTGTCCCCAGGCCACGCCCCCACACAGCAGGGTACTGAGGCATCAGCTTCCTGTTCCTCTCTGAAACAGTCCCTGCTCCCCACTTTTGCCTCTGGGCCTGAGCCACAAGACAGGGAGTGCTCAGAATCAGCTCCTCCTCCATCAGAACCCTTCTGAGCACTGTCCCACAATTCCTGCTGCCTACCACCCTCCCCAGCTCTTTAAAGAAATCTCCCCAGGTCCCAGGAAGAGAACTGAGGTGATCAAAGTGAGCAGAGGCCCAGTCCTTCCTTCGTTCCACTCATCTGTTTCAGATCAAGGACACAATTGCTCAAGGCCTTGATTGGCCTGGGAATTGGGCTGAGACTGAGCCCCTGCCGCCCTTTAAGATTTCTGCCAGTTTAGCTCGCAGGCACTTATACTAAGCATTCCTCATGAGTGAGGGGCTCTACTTTTCTACCTTGCAGCTCAGGAGACACAGGGCTCTGTCCACAATTTTAGACTAGCCACAAAGATTGCCAGAGGAGGGGGCTCAAGATGTAGAGAGGATCCATGTGAGGAGCTAGAGGTCCCAGCCGCAGCCAGAGCTCCCACACAGCAGCTGCTCCTGACCCGAGTGCTCGTGTCCAGAGACATTGTTCCTGAAATGGAATACCATGCTAGATAGCAGAGCTAGGGCTGGTGGCTTGAGGAGGACTATTTCTGGGACCCGGGAAGTGACCCAAGAAGCAGATGCCAACAAGTACCTGTGAGGATACACTTAGCCCAGACGGTCCAGAGGGTGGAATGTTTTCTGTGCCATGGCAAAAATATGCATGAGGCTCCTGAAAAAGGTACACATTGGGGGTCTGGAATGAAGCAGAAGACTAAACAAAGGTGTATTTAGATGCCAGCAGCCCCTGGCCCTCCTCAGAGACCATTCTGAACATTAAGAATCCGGCTCTGCTCCATGGAGACCAACATTTTCTCCTGTCTGACCAGGTGGAGCCTGGAGTGTGGCACACAGCTCAGGCCCACCTCCTCAGGCTTCTTCCTCTCTCCAGTAAAAGAAGAATTTGACTGAATTAATTCCAAACAGCTCTAACACCATCAGAGCTTGACAGCTCCTAGGGAGGGAGGGAAGGAAAAATGTTCCAAAAAGACGATACCGAACTGCATGACTTCTGCCCACAAGACCAATGGCTCCGATCTGGCCAGTACTGCCCAGTAACAACATCTGACCAGGGTGACACTGCCCACCTTGACCCTTTTAAGAGAGTACGTTGGAAGTGAGACGGTGGGCCTAGACCAAGAAACAGCCATCCTCCTTCCCATATTGCCATCCCCTACAAAGGGTTTCTTCCTGCATCAACCAGCGGAGGCACAGCTAGAATAAGCAGAAGGTCAAACTGGAGATGAAGAGATGAGAGGAGGAGGGAGTATTGCTGTCAGTCAGAAATCCCAGCCCAACCTACAGAACTTACCAGGGATGGAAGGTCTGCTCAAGAAGGTGCTGGGTCTCTTGTCACAGGTATTGAGTGAGGCTGTGCTGTCACAGGGCCAGGCTGTGTATTGGGTCAGGTGACATTCCAGTCCCTTTCACCCCAGTCAAGCTGTGAAGTCAAGAACCAAAATGATAGAAAGGGAAAGACTCTTCCTTGTAACACTGTCATACCATGCATTGGTAAGAAATGTGTGGCCTGCTCCTGTGGACAGAAAGGAACATGAGCGTAAACAGTGCAGAATGCTACTACACAGGAATGAGAGCTCCAGGAAATTGGGAACTATGGATGAGAAAAGTCTGTATCCTTTTTCATAATGCTGAATTTGAAGCACACACCCATGCAGCGATATGGAATAGACTTTAAAATAAAAGCCCTTTCCCCGTTCCACAGGACCATCCTGTGCAACAGCCATTTTTGTCAAGTTTTGTTTTTTGTTTTTGAGACAGGGTTTCTCTGTGTAACAGCCCTGGCTGTCCTGAAACTAGGTCTGTAGACCAGGTTGGCATCGAACTCAGAGATCCATCCAAGTGCTGGGATTAAAGGCATGCACCATCATCACCTGGCTTCATTATTATTTGTTTATTTAGAAAAAGTTTTTTTCATTTTACATACCAACCCCAGTTCCTTCTCCCTCCCCTTCTCCCGTCCCCAACTCCCTCTTCTCATTCCCCAATTCATTAACTATTTTAAAAATGCATACTTTTATTTAAAAAGATTTTAATGATGTGTGTGGGTTTATGTCTGTGAGTATAGGTGTGAGTACAGATGCCCGAGGAGGCCAGAAGATGTTTTGGATCCCCAGGAACTGAAGTCCCAGGTAGTTGTGAGCTGCCCAGTGTGTGTGCTGGCAGCTGAACCTGGGTCCTTAACCTCTGAACCATCTCTGCAGCCCTTGTACTACTTTTACTTCAGTTATCGATCTCAGACATTATCTTTTGGTTTTTGTAATAGATGAGGCTTTAGTGCTCGAGACCCTGCTCTCCATGTTTTAGGTCATCTTTACTTACTGTTTATATTGCTATGTATGATACATGAAAGTCTTAGTAAAGCTGAGAATTAACTAAATAACCACTTTTGAACTTTTAGATGTTTTCATAGAATTGGTATATACTTAGTTTTTTAATATACCATTGAAAATTTCCCATCTGACCTCAGTTCTTTTCTCAGGACACTTCCTTTAGACCTTGCTTCTGTGTAGACTCCTATGAGAGTTCCCTTTTCCCTTATCCAGAGCTAGATCCCCTGATTCCCAGGCTCCATGTCTTCTTCATTATTCTGCCCTCGTTTGGTAAAACAGCCTCAGATAAATTCTTTATAGCCTGGCGTCTGGACATCGCCGTATTCAGCTCACACGTGCAATAGCTCGAGTGGTAAACAAAAGCTGGAAATAACTTTCCTATAGACAAAGCTCCCGTGTCCTCTGGCTTCTGTGCTGTTTTTACTGGGTCCTGATTGTTGCTTTGTGAGGTGGCAATGAATGGGCCTGCCTTCCAGGGCTGTGCTGTGCTCCCTGGGCTCCAGGTAAGTGGTTCCTGGGAGGACTGAATTGATCCTAGTTTTCTTTTCTTCTAAACTGTTTCTTTGTTCTCTGCTCCTTTGTTCAGTCCTTGTAGTGTCCTTTCAGAGATGCATTTAATTTTTGCATTATTTGTGCATGTGTGTAGCCTAATAGCATCTAATTTAAAACATAGTGAACTTATTTAATTAATCTATTCCCTCTAAAGTTAGAAATGGGCGCGGGTGGGGGGCTTAGTGATAAAGACCACTCGTTGGTCTTGTAAAGGATCTGGACTCCGTTCCTGGTGCCCATGTGGTGTGACTCACAGCTGTAACTTCAGTTTCAGGGGATCTGACCACCACTTTCGGCACTAGGCACCCACATGATGCACATACATACATGTAGGTACTCATAAAAAGTTTAAAATAGCAGGGTGGTGGTAACGCATGCCTTTAATCCCAGCACTCGGGAGGCAGAGGCAGGTGGATCTCTGTGAGTTCAAGGACTGTCTGGTCTATGAAGCGAGTTTCAGGGCAGGCTCCAAAGCTACAGAGAACCCCTGTCTCAAAAACAACACACACACACACACACACACACACACACACGAAGATGCATAGTGGTCTCACCCATGCAGAGAAGCAAGAAACAAAAACATAAAAGGAAGCCAGATGGCTCACATATCTAATGCCAGAATTCAGGAAGCTGAGGCAGGAATATCAATGAAAGTTCACAGCCATCCTGGGCTACATACATAGCTCCCGGCCAGTCTGGACTGCTGTCTCCACCAAAAGAGTTTCTTTTTTTTTATCATTTTACTTCCCAATCTGCTATGGGATTCCTCTCTGTATGCTATGAATATGTTTTATTACCATTGGTTAATAAAGAAACTGCTTTTGCCTGTGGCAGTGCAGAATATAGCCAGGCAGGAAGAGATAGAGTAGGCAGAGTCAGAGAGCTATGTAGCTGCTGAAGGAGGACACTGGAACTTTACCTGTAGGCCACTGCCTCATGGCAATACAGATTAATGGAAATGGGTTAATTTAAGATGTAAGAGTTAGTTAATAAAAAGCCTAAGCTAATAGACCAAACAGTGTTATAATTAATATAGTTTCTGTGTGATTATTTGGGTCAGGGTAGCTGGAAAACGAAAAAGTAGTCTCTACTTACACCAACCGAAGCCTCCCCTTCCTCCTCTCCTCTCTTTCCCCTTCACCTCCTCCTTGTCCTCCTCAATCCACCCCTACTCCAAAATTGGTTTTTAAAGGGAAAACAAAATATGATCACATACAGTGAACATAAGAATCAACATGAGGGGGGTGGGGGTAAAAAAAAAAAAGAATCAACATGAGCCGGGCGGTGGTGGCGCACACCTTTAATCCCAGCACTTGGGAGGCAGAGGCAGGTGTATCTCAGAGTTTGAGGCCAGCCTGGTTTACAGACCAAGTTCCAGGACAGGCACCAAAGCTACAGAGAAACCCTGTCTGGCGGGGGGGGGCCCGGGGAGGAACCCTACAATGAGAGACCATCGAGAGGGCTCAGTAAAGGCACCTGCTACCAAACCTGTCGATCTGAATTCAATCACAGTTCCCATGTGGTTAGAATCAGCTAACTCAAGTTACCCTCCAACCTCTACACATGTGCATGGTGCAGGTTGTTCCATGCGCACAAAATTAAATTAAAAACAAATCTCGTCATCTTTATGTGTGCTCAGCAATATCTTAAGTCATGTATAATAACTAAGATATAAAATACAAAAATGAATCCACTCAAAAGACGTATTTATCAGAAAGAACTTTATTGAAAATATGTAAAGCTGCCATGGTGGTGCACACCTTTAGTCCTAGCACTCAGGCGGCAGAGGCAGGTAGATCTCTTAAGTTCGAGATCAGCCTGGTCTACATGGTAAGTTCTAGGTCAGCCAGAGCTACAAAGTGAGACCCTGTCTCAAAAACTAAGAAAGTATTCATTGAGGAGATAAACCTTGTTTATGACCCGGAAAGCTGAATTTCACATAGATGCTGGTTTTCACCAAGCTGACCCACAGTTGTTGGTTCCACTGATTACTTCAGAGTGGGCTTTTATTAGTCAAATCTAAAAAGCTGGCACACTCCTCTCCCACCAGGGAGGGCACAGCAGGGACTTCAGACAAGCTGTGGTGAGGGTTCCAGGGAGCCTTTCATATCTCAAAAACACATGAAAATTAGATACTCTGCAGCATGAAGGGTAAAAGAGGACACCAGATCTGCTACACAGTACAAGTGTTCCTACTCTCTTAAAAGTAACAAAGCACACTGGGTAGCAAACAGTGACCTCTAAGGACAGGCAAAGCCCATCCGAAGGGTAGGCTGCTGGGGACAGGGTATATGATTATCTGCAGGCGACAGCCAACATTTTCTGTGGCTTTAGCTCTATTTTTGACCCAGTCCCTATTCCTATCTTTTCTGTTGCCCCTGAGGTCTAGAGCTTCTGGTCCAATCTGTCTTCCTTGTCACCCTACCACCACATCCCAGATACCGCCACAATCCAGAAGGGTGGCTGCAGGGGTGGATGAGGTCTGTGGAGAGGAGCAGCTCACATCTCCTGATACAAACTGTCCAATACCGCATCCAAGGTTAGCCCAACACCTCACCGCGCCTTTCCTAGTGCTGGGGACGTTCTGCCTTGCTTACCCTCCCCTCTCTTTAGGAACATGTAATTTTGATTTTTAATTCTCTGCTAAGACAAGCTTCCAACCTCTGTCATGTTTTAAAACATTGTCAGGCTTTTTGTCAGGCTTTTTGGTATACAAATATCTGTCTTCTTTCCCCTTACTAATTTATATTATTTTTACTTCTCTATTATTTGGTGAGTCTAATGGCAAACAGATGCCTGGGGTGCTGAAGCAGTCATGTTTAGCTATGTACTATATTTCTACAGTATGCTGAAAGTTGACTCACCATACCTACAATTCCCACTGATTGATGTTTGAGACAGGCAGTTTGCTGTGAATTCAGGAAAGCCAGAGTTACACAGAAAGTTCCAGGCCAGTCTGGGATACTAAAGGTGATCCTATCTCAATAACAATGATAAATAATAATAATAATAATAATGTTTTAAAACCATAAAAAGGGGGCTGGAGAGATGGCTTACAGATGACCCAAGTTTAGTTTCTAGTACCCACAACAGCCTGTAAGTCCAGCTGAAGGGGATTCAATGCCCTCTTCTGGTCTCTAAGGGCACCCACGTATGCATGCTCATGCATGTACAAAAGCACACTCACGAGCACAGACACACACACACACACACACACATATTAAAATCATTCTTCACAGGCTCTGGAACACCTGGAAGCTGGCTGGGTTTGCCTTCATGTTTCTCCTACTCAGTTAAGCACTGAAAAGTAAAGCAGATTCAAAGATCTGGGTTCAAATCTAACCTCTTAGTCCAGGCATGGTGTTGAATGTTTCAATCGTAGCACTCAGCAGAAGCCACGCCGGGCAGTGGTAATGCACACCTTTAATCCCAGCATTTGGGAGGCAGAGACAGGCAGATCTCTGGAGTTAGAGGCCAGCCTGGGCTGCACAGAGAAACCCTGTCTTGAAAAAACATGTTTTTAGAAAGTAGAAGCAAAGCCGGGTAGTAGTGGTGCACGTCTTTAATCCCAGCACTTGGGAGGCACAGGCAGGTGCATCTCTGAATCTGAAGCCAGTTAGTTTATAAAGTAAGTTTCTAAGACAGCCAAGGCTACGAAGAGAAACCCCGTGTATAAAAAGAAAAAAAAAAAACAAAGTAGAAAGCATAAGCAGGTGGATTTCTTTGAGTTTAAGGCCAGCAAAGTCTACATTTTTACCCCACAGTCTTGTCACATGGCTTAGCAGAGCTTTATGTTTCTTACATAACAACGATCCTAACTCTGGACCCACATACAGGAGAGCTACAATAGCTCCCTGGAAATCCCTGCTGCAGAGAAGTTTCTTTGGAGTGTTATCCTCTAGAGCACATTTGAATTCTCCTTGCCTGGATCCCACCCATTAGGTGGGTCTTATGTCTTCTGTAGTCTCCAGGCCTGACAAGCATGGGAACTGGAAAACAGCAAGCAAAATGATAAAGTGAGGGATAGGAACCCAAAAAAGATTGGGGAGGCCAAGAACCAGCCTGGTAGAGGGGCAGACAGGCAGGCTAAGTAGACCCCTTGCCAGACCCTCCTCTGCCAAAAGGGGCTGAGTTGCAGTGTCTGAGCTCTAATATGGAAGAGGCCACACTGGACAAGTTCAAGGAGGGAGCTAGAGCTGCACACGACAGGCACAAAGGGCTGACCTGGCCTCTTTCCTGTGGCTGGCAAGAAGCTGAAAGCAAGTTCTTCAGCTCCCTCCTCTGCTCCCTTCCTCCCTAGTCAGCTCTACCTGGACTCAGGAAGCCACAAGACCCACATCAGCTGGTGTCTGGAAAGTGATCCCATCTCCAGGCAAAGGGGAAGCTAGGAAAGGCCAGAACCAGACTAGGGCCCAGCGCGGACCCAGGGCTGCCTGCAGGTTGTGGCTGGTGCCCAGGTCATAGGAGTGCTGACCCCGAGCCCACTCCCATGTGGTCTGGCCCCTCAGCAGCAGCATCCCATGGAAAAGCAGTCCAGCACCACACAGCAGTGCACCCGCCACACATGTGTCCACCACAAAAGCTAAGGCGAACTGGGCCAGAGACACTTTGCCTGTGGGGAGAAAACAAAAAGGGTCTCAGATAGCAGTTGGCTGGCCTCCCCAAACCCAAATTCTGCCTTCCTCCCACCCAGAAAGTGGGACTCCATTCTATAAGTTCAATTACTCAGTTACACCTGGGATCCATGTTCCATGGAAATGTATAGCATCTTTTACGATCTTGGCCTCAGCAGGCAGCTAGTTCCTGCTGAACTGACTGACCACCAGAGGCCATGAAACATTGTGCTAAGTGAAAGAAGCCAGGCACAACTGGCCATGGTTTGTGGGATGTGATTTCTGTGAGCTGTCTTGAATGGACAAATGCGTGCACAGAAAGAAGACTGATGACCATCAGGGCTTGAGGGGCTCTAGGATGTCACAAGATGGCTGCTTACTGTCACCGCATTTCTCTATGGAGTGAAAATGGTCTGCAATTAGACAGTAGTAATGGTTATACTACACTACATACTAAATACAGATATTTAGAATATTTAGAACACTAAAATCTATGAAATGTACACTTCCAAATGACTAAAATGATGTCTTGTATCAGCAAAAGAGTACTTGGGCTAAGGAAATGGCTCATTCAGTGAACTGCTTGCCTTGCAAGCATGAGACCCTGACAGCAGATCCTCAGGACCCACATACAAATCTGAATGTGGTACCATATGCCTATAATTCCAGTGATGACTGAATGGGAGGCAGAGACAAGCAGACTCTATAGTCTATCGCCTAGCTGGTCTGGCCCACTTGTCAAAGTTCCAGGCCAATGAGAGACTCTGTCTCAAAGAGAAGGTGGAAGGTGCCCAAGGTTTTCTCTGACGTTCGCATGCACACACACGCGCGCGCGCACACACACACACACACACACACACACACATCCACCCAAACCATGGCAGAAATGCTCTGCAAAAAATAAGAGTAGAGGAAATGAGTTCATCTATTTTCATAAAAGGGGGAGAGACCATCCTGTCCAGGAGAGACTCTTAGGAGACAGAGTCAATGATTTGGCCGTGTACAAAGAAGTCCTGTTGCCCAGCAGATCTGTATGCAGTAGAGACCTGAAGTAAGGAGCTCCAAGAGCAGCTGGACATGCCAGAGTGTGTGGAGGGAGACGAGAGGGTACAAAGTCTGTGGAGACCAGAAGAAAGGAAGACCAAAAAGGAATGAAGAGATGGAAACATCGAAGTCGGAGCTGTAGGTAGGCCAAAGGCAGAGCATGCCAAGAATGCAGCACTGGAAGCTCCTGAGCCTGAGAGGTTCTCTAAAAGCAAGAAGAGAGCTGGATTTTCTGGCCTCTGTAGGAGAATGGGCAGAGCAGAAGCCAGGTGAGAGCAAGGAGAGGCAGGAGGCAGGAGAAAGCAGCTGCACACCTGCACAAGTCCTTTGGAAAGAGGAGGCAAAATAAGGACAAGCTTATATAAGGTAAGGGAACCCCAAGAAAGACAATGAAGAGAGCTGGGGCACAGGAAGAGGAATGGACAAAACAAGCAGAGGACTCCAGTAAGGGGGCGGGGTGTCAACTTTAAAAATCGGTGGGTCCTTCAGTCCACCAGGGAGAACTGAACACAGGAATATTGCTGTTCTCTGTTTTTGAAACAAGGTCTCAAAATACATAGCTCAGGCTCACCTTCAGCTCTATATGTAATCCAGGCTGGCCACAAACTTTCAATACTCCTGCCAACCTGAGCTTCAAATGGAGAACAAGGTGAACCTAGCCATGAACATGGCATCATGTATATCTGGCAGCTCTCAGTAGCCAGGGGAAGGAAGATGAGCCAGGATGCTTGAGAGAGTGGCAGGATAAAGATAGAAATGAAGGACTCCTGAAGACAGCAGCAGTGAAGATGGGACAGGCAAGATGAATAGAAAGGTAACAACCAAGTAGAAAGGACAGCAGGTGAAGGGCCCAGAAAAGGATATGGGGGCTGGAGAGATGGCTCAGTGGTTAAGAGCACTGACTGCTCTTCCAGAGGACCCGGGTTCAATTCCCAGCACCACATGGCAGCTCACAAATGTCTATAACTCAAGGATCCAACACCTTCACACAGACATACAAGCAGGAAAAACACAAAAAAAAATGAAAAAAAAAATTAAAACAAAAAGGGATGGCTAATGGAGATGAAACATTCTGGGTTCTAACAAGAAGTAGGTGTGCCCGAGTGTGGTGGTGCACATCTTTAATCCCAGCACTCAGGAGGCAGAGGCAGGTGGATGTCTGTGAGTCTGAGGTCAGCCTGGTCTACACAGTGAGTTCCAGGACAGGCTCCAAAGCTAGAGAGAACCCTGTCTCAAAAAACAAACAAACAAAAAACCAACCAACCAACCAACCAACCAACCAACAAAGTATGTGTGGATGTGAGAGTTGGCGAAGTGAAACACAGATGGAGGCCAAGAAATGGAAGCCAAGAGTGAGCACTTGCCTGCAACCTCAGTACTTGGGAAGCTGAGGAAGAGGATGGTGACTTCAAAGTCAGCCTGGGCTTCACAGCAGGACCATGTAGGAAGGAAGGGAGGGAGGGAGGGAGGGAGAAAGGGAGGAAAGGCACAGTAAGTCATCTAGGTATGGACAGGATTGCTGACAGTTTTGGGGCTTTCAGTTTCAACAGATCCCAGGACTGACAGGCCCGGAGCCCAAGTCAGTGATAGGGAACAGTGAAGTAGGCTATGATGGCTGCAGAAAAACACCTCGCCTCAGAAAACACAGAACCATCAAGAAGTGTATGGAAGAGCCTGTAAAGAGATCAATGTGAGCACCTCAGTGGCTTCCAGAGGCTGGGGTATCTGGGACAGAGGACTTAGGCCCATCTCCCCTAAGATAACCTTCTAGCATCCAACACCCAACGGGCTCTCATACTAGCCTTTCCTCCTCTGTAGCAAGCTCTGGGATCCTTGATTCTTCAGGTAGAACTCTGTTCTTGTCTTGGAGCCCCATGTAAAGCACAGGGTTTTGTTTTTCGATTTTGGTTTTGTTTTTTCGATTTTATGAGACAGGGTTTCTCTGTAGCTTTGGAGCCCATGCTGGCACTCACTCTGTAGACCAGGCTGGCCTCAAACTCCCAAAGATCCACCTGACTCTACCTCCCAAGTGCTGGGATTAAAAGTATAAGCCACCACCACTGCCTAAAGCACAGTTCTTCACACTCAGTTAGGTATGAGGCTTCCCTCTCTCCCTAAATGACACTAGGGCTGGGTCCCCAGAGCATTGCTCAAGAGAACCAGGTGGACACCCCCACCTCCCATGGGAAGGGACCTTGGTCCCAAGCACAGTGCAAGGGTCTCTGGCTGCTGCAAGGTTCAGAAAGCTCCCCACCTGTGAGTAGCATGAGCCAGGGCAACAGCAGGAGAGCCACCGTGTAGACGGCTGAGTGGGCCCGCAGCAGGGCTGATAGGGCAGGGCTTAGCAGCACTGACACATGGAGAAGGACACCAGCAGCGTGAAGCAGCAGGCACAGGAAGGGCCGGTAGTTATGGAAGCCCACGCAGCGGCCCAGTAGGCGGCAGTGGTGGTCACGACGAAGGATGCACACACGGCAGGCAGAGCAGTGCCCACTACGCGGTGGCACCTGACTTTGACACTGGTAACAGTAACTGCAGAGACGAGGGAGGGGGAAGAACCACAGGTTAGTTAGTGCCCCCAAGAGCTCTAAGTGCCCCAGACCATGCCCAATCTCAGCCCCAGAGGCCGTGTTGGGGAAGCAGGAACAGCCTTGACCTCTAGCACTGCAGGTCTGAGGTGGCTACCCGCTGTGACATACCCACTGAAAAACAAAGTTTTCACTGACTTGGAAGTGCTTCTGCCACTAACATCTCTTTTCCTCTTTCCACTCGGGAATATTCTGCCCTTTGGTGGTCTGTTTCTTCCTCCCAGAAACCAGTTCAAAACTTCTCAAGTGGCTAACTCTGCCACCTCTTCATGCAAATGCCTCAATGAGGTCACCCTTGACCACTTACTTATTTTTTTGTTTTGTTTTGTTTTTCGAGACATGGTTTCTCTGTAGCTTTGAAGCCTGTCCTGGAACTAGCTCTTGTAGACCTCGAACTCACAGAGATCCGCCTGCCTCTCCCTCCCAAGTGCTGGGATTAAAGGCATGTGCCACCACCACCCGGGTACTTTTATATTTTTGTTTTTACTTGCAAATAATGAGCTAGTCTTAACATATTTGCATATGCTGTGGGTTTTTAGTAAAATGTGAGTTAATGAAATTGAGCTAATTAACAAATCCATCACCTAAAGATCTTGTGCTGTAAACTGACCATGTGTTTAGAACTGAAACTCTGGGCTGGGGAGATGGGTCAGTAGTTAAAGGCATGTGCTGCACAGGCCTGATGACCCATTCAGTCTCCAGAACCCAAATGGAAGAAGAGAACTCACGAAAATTGTCCTTCGACCTCCACATGTGCGCCGTAGCACGCGGGTCTGAACTTGGACACACATCATAAATACAGACAAAAATAATAAAAATAACTGAAACTTGCGCTCCTTGCCTTTTTTACCCTGATCTATTTTTTTTCACATCATCTTTTACCATCACTTTTACACAATTTGCTTATTTATTGGGCTTATAAGTTAGTATCTGCCCCTTTTGCAACTGAAATCAACTCCAGGAGGTCAGACATCTGTTTTTACTTGAGTCTCCGGAACAGTGTCCGCTCAGCATCTAAATGAATAAGTAGCGGATGCGAGGTTCTAAAGGAATTCTTTGGCTCCAACAACCCGAATGCTAATGTCATCTGGTTTCTGACAACTCAAGTTCTGGGGCCTCTCTTGGTCCCAGCGCCCCCACTCACCCTGACCCCCCGAACCCACTTCCGCCCGAAGACCCCCGTGCCCGACACTCACGCCCAGCCCTGGCCCAGGCCGCGGCCAGCCAGCATCACGCCCCGAATGCTGGGATCGGAGCGCAGGAAGAGTCCCACGTTGCCCAGCAGGTTAAGAAGCTGATAAGCAGCCAGCGCCAGTTGCAAGGCCCGAGCCAGGGGTCCCAGCGGAGGCGGCCCGGGCCCCAGCACCATCACATAGGCCAGCTCCAAGACCACGGCGACGGCCCACAGCGCGGTGAGCACCAGCGGCAGTCGCGTGGACGCTCCTTCTGCGCCCCGAGCAGCCCAGGGCTCCCCCATGGTTCCGATCCACTCGCAGTCAGATCGCTGGGACCCCACCGCTTCCGTATTGGGGAGGGCATAGCGGCGGACAGGCGTCTGACGCGACCAATGGGATATCTGCAAGGGTGAGTTGCCGTCAGATTCGCAGGGAGGGTCCACAGACACAAAGAAGTGATTGGCTGGCCGAAACATTTCGAAATCCGGTTGGTGCTGCCGCCCAGTGTCAACGTGAAGTGGTTGCCCAGCGTACTGCAAGGGTCACGCCCCCTGGATTGGCTGACTGCCACGTTGGGAGGATTGGGTTGCAGCACCCGTGGCGTCGGGGTTTCCCGGCTCAGCACATTCTCCCCACACTCCTCTACAGCCGTCCCGGTATTAATAGACCTGGCTGGTCCTATCATCTGGCCCCAAGCTCGGGTGTCTCCATCACCCTAGAAAACTTCCCAAACAGCTTGTTGCCTCTGTGTTACTGTGAGAAAGAAAGAAGGGTCTGTTTCTCGCGCGCAGTGCTGGAAGGAGGGCAGACTCAGATCCAAAGGGCAGCTTTTAGGATGGCCCGCAGCCACCACCTGGACTGCACTTTACAGATGAGGAAACAGACAAGGTCCATGACTCTCCCGAGATCACACAGCAAGCTAACCACAGAGCTGAAATGCGAACCCTCTGTGAAGGCCAGTAGTCACTCAGCATCCACCGCGATTCCGCAATCTTTGACTCCAGTGCAATCTTTTCTCTGGTCCAGACCCAAGCTCCCTCGCCCCCTATCTGGCCCCACCCACCTCCCCCATATTTAGTACGAATCTGATCTGGGGCTGGGACGGGCCCTACTTAACCCGGCCTGAGCGTTCAAGAGCTCGCCCAGTGGAGCGGAGCAGAGCCAAGATCCTGAGCAAGATGATGATGGTTATGCAGCCCGAGGGTCTGGGGGCCGGGGAGGGGCCCTTCTCGGGCGGCGGGGGCGGCGAGTACATGGAACAGGAGGAGGACTGGGACCGTGACTTGCTGTTGGACCCGGCCTGGGAGAAACAGCAGCGGAAAGTGAGTGCTCACCCATTTCCCAAAGGCAAAACTGAGGCTGAGAGGCCAGGCAGTTCTTCCTGGGTATCTGGGCAGTTCAAGGACAGAGCCTTCCTGTAACCTAGACTGACATTCCCCAGTCCAGGCTCTGCCCACCAGTCATCTACTGTCCCCAGGGCTAGAAGAAAGGCTGGGAGTCCTCAGGTGGGATTTAGGATGTCAAGAAGTTTCTGGAGTCCCTAATGGCCTCTCCCCTCTCCCAGCTCCTTTGAGCCCACTGCCTCGCTTCTCCCGGTGAAAGTAGATTTTGGACAAGGTCCAAGAGATGCAACTTGTTGGGTGGGAGGTGAAGGGGTCTCAAGAAGTTATGTCCTTCTATACACCCATCACACTCACCAGTTAAGTATCCCTAGACCCCATCCTGAAACATGCCAGGCACACAACCGTGTGTGGTGTAGAATCATCTCCTACTCTTTCCCATCCTCTGCTATGTATTCTACTCAGGGTGGCGTCCTCAGTGCCTCTATAGGCTTGAAGATTAAAGAAACTGGGGTCCAGAAAACGGCAGAGATAGACAGCCTATTATATACTGTGAGGAAGAAAAATAATTCCCCCCATCTGAGGATCTTTTCCTTTGCCCCACCCCATTCTTTCCCAAGATACTCCTCCCTGCCTTAGAAATCCTGAGTCTGCTGAAAAGGCCAGAAGGTCGGGAGGAGGGGAGCCCTGGGTCTCCTTACCAGTAACTTAACCCGGGGACCCAGATGGACACTTGTGCTGAGGCAGCGCCTTTGGGGGAGCTCAAGAGAACCATGTGGGCAGCTGTTGCCCAGGCCCAGCCTTGTAGGGCACTGCCCCCTCCCTCCCTGAACTATTTTCTCTCCTAGCTCCCCAGCGGAGGGAGCAAGACACCTGGGTTCCCTAAAGAGAAAATGATTCCAGTCGGACTGAGAAAGCGTTGAGGAGCTGCAGGCCAGACATAGGGAAGGTAGCTATGAGGCTATTGGGCATGCCTTTTGTCAACTATGCCTTATTCAAGGAAAGGGCAAGGTGCTGGTGTACCCAGCAGAATTTGTAGGACCTAAGAACCCCAGAATTTAGAACCAGAGCATTTCTGCTGGGTTAGATGACAGAAGTTGGCTGCAGGGGTGGGGAGATTGAGCTGACTGAGCCTGCACCTGTCTCCAAGCATGGCTGTGGTCCCTGAATTCGGCAATCCCCGGGTGATGTCATCCCTGCTCCTGGCTCCAGCTGCTAACTCCTCAACAACTCTTGCCCCCACCCCCAGCCATCCAACCCTCTCCCAGAACCAAGGCTATGTGTCCCTACTGTGACATCTGCCTGTCTCTTGCCTTTGTCAACCATCCTTTCATTCCAATTTATAGCCACCCCCATGTCCATCATTACCGTCCAACAACAGCCCCCATCCACATTAATTCATCAATAACATAGGGTTGAGGCTCTGAAAACCAGTCAGCGGCCCTGTAGATGAACAGGTGGGTTATGTCTTCCTCATTCCACATTGTTGAACAAGGCTGTAACATCCTTGTGGTCAGGTACCGGTCTGCTTCATCCACCCCTGCTCCTAATGGTTCTTGGTGACTGCTTCCTTGCTTATCAGTGACTCCAGGACCCAAGGTCTCCAACTTTGGAGCACTCTCATTCTCCCCGATACCTGAGTCCTCTTCAGTTGACCATATTGAAAAACAATTGGCTCATAAATATTTCCTGACTATTTTAAGGTCTCATGTAGTCCAGGCTAGTCTTGGATTTGCCATGTGACCAAGGATGACCTTGCCTCCTCTTTCTTTCCTTATAAAAGTTTTGTGAGATTTATTCATTTTACTTTATATGTGGTGTTTTGCCTGTGTATATGTATGTGCAACGTATCTATGCTTGGTGCTTGAGGAGGTCAGAATAGGGGATCAGATTCCCTGAACCCGGAGTTATGGGTGGTAAGGAACCACCAAGTGGGTGCTGGGAATCCACCCCTGGTCTTCTGCAAAAGAAACAAAACAGCGGGTGAACAATCTATCCAGTACTTTTTCCATTTTTTTCCTTTTTCTTTCCTTTTCTTTCTTTCATTTTTATCTGTTTGTTTATTTTGTTTTTGAAGGCAGGGTTTCTATGTGTAGCCCTGGCTGTCCTGGAACTAGCGCTGTAGACCAGGCTGACCTCTAACTCAAACTCACAGAGATCTGTCTGCCTCTGTTTCCCTAGTGCTGGGATTAAAGGTGTGCACCACCACTGCTGGGCTCCTTCCTCCACTTTCTAAGTTGCGGGCTGCAGGTTTGCACTACCACACCAGGTTTGAAGAGGTTCTAGGAGTCAAACCTGGGGCATCTTGTGTGCAAGACGGTCACTCTGTCCACTGAGCTAGATCCCAGATGTTCCATAAATACATCTTTTTTTAAAAAAAATGTTTTACTTTAATGAATTATTTTTATTTATGTGTATGTACATGGGTACCCATGGAGACCAACAGAGGGTATCAGATCCCTAGAGCTGGAGTTACAGGCAGTTATAAAGGCTCCTCACATGGGTGCTGGGAATCCAATCTGGGTCATTTGGAAAAACAACCAGTGCTCTCAATCACTGGGCCATGATCCCAAGCCCATAAATAGGTTATAAGAAAGTCTGCAATCAGAATGAAACAAAGCACACCTCCATACCTCCTCACATCCACTCCATCGCTTTCTATCCCTTGTATCCATTCTCACCTCCCCGTTTCCCCCTTCCATTCTGACAACCATTGTTCCTGCTCTGCAACCAAAGTGAGCTTTTAAATTTAGTTCTACATTTACTAAATTTAGGCTACATTTGGGAGACTGAGGCAGGCAGCAGCGCTCTCTCAGATAGTCTGTTTCACATAACAAGTGTCAGGATAGCCAGAACTGCATAGGGAGACTTGTTTCAAACATATTAAGTTCTGATGCCTCCCTCTTGCCAGAAGCTTTGCCAGCTCTCTGTGGCTCTCAGGATCAAGTTCAAACTCCCTGGCTTAGCACCCAGGATCATGCATGACCTGGCCCCTGCCACCCCTCCGGTCTGTCTCTCACCACCAATACCCCAACACCTCCAGTTTGATTCCAACAGTGGCCACAATGCTGCAGTCCCACAGAGGGAACAACTGTTTCTCACTGCACATTTCCCCTTGTGCCTGCCCCTGCCTGACATGCCCTTGGCTGCCCTTCCTGGGCCTGCACCAGCTCCTGCTCTTTCATCACAGATTTGATGTGAGCCTCCATCAAGAAGCCCCCACCTAATTTGGACGATCCCCCTCCAACCCAGATTCCTCTGCCAGTCTCCACTGGTACACCTCAGAGAACAATGTGACTTTGATTGACTGTGAACTCCTTCAGGGCAGGGCTACATCTTATTAAAACTCATATTTGGGACTGGGAATGTAATGAATTGATTTTTAAGTTGATTAAGTTCTGACTTAGTTTAGCATGAGTTAATCCACAATTTGAATCCTCAGCATCAAATAAACAAGGTATGGTAGTACATGCTTGTCTTCATGTCTGTCTTGACAAAGACAGGAGAATCAGAAGTTCATTGTCACCACTGGCTACATGGTAAGTTAAAAAATACACGAGTCCATAAGACTTGACCTCAGGTTTGCCCCCACGAATCCCCACAACCCTACCCCAGCCAAGCTGCCTGACCTTCTGCCATTTGTAGACCCAGTGCATCCAGACTCTAGTTGTAGAAGTGACTGTAGAAAATGTGAATACAGTCTCTTGTGCTTGGGTCCCTACTAAGGACCCACTTCTACACCCCTTGTAACAGAAGCTCACCATGTTCCTTTAGCAATGACAGCTGTCCAGTGCTTATAGCATCCTCTTCCACTCCAGCTCCCAGCAGACCTGGAAACCTGGCTAAGGAGAGAATTCCAAATGGTCTCCAGGGCCACTTCTCAGAAACATCCGTTTTACGGTGGGAGGAATGCTTTTCTGCCAGCTTAGTGGTTGCACATGAGTCTAATGATATTTTAATTATTACCTGCTGCTCCATGGCTCCATAGTTAGTACCCCCTGGCCACTCAGGCTGTG